GATTGCGCTTGGAAGACGGGGACATAGGAAGGACAGACACAACAGAGCGCTAACTTTCAAGTGATTTAATTCAAGAACCTCAGCGTAGAAATGGACTGTGTCACCGCACCACATCTCAACCAATCCGTGGCCCTGCCACGGATTGGTTGAGATGTGGTGCGGTGACGCAGTGTGTTTCTACGCCGAGGTTCTTGAATTAAATCAGTTGAAAGTTAGCACTCTGTGGTGTCTGTCCTTCCTATGTCCCCGTCTTCAAAGCACAATCATGTTTTCTAACGTACCGTACCAACTTGCCCAACAATCAGCACTTGCTAAAAAGTGCTATTGTGTTTTAAGCAGCTCGCACCAAATATTTTCTTGAAATACATAGGTTCATGGAAATTATTATGTAGATGTTGGCAGACAGGCATGGTGAGGCCAATCTTTAATGCCAAGTGGTCCACTTATTCAGAGTTAATTGAGTTTGTAAATATTGTAGGTCGCAAATTAAATTTTTATGGTACGCAATGGGCACAATCATCCGTAATGACTAGCTCTACCTAGGGGAACTTCATACGTTTACTACGGCAAGATGGTTTCGAAAAACAAAGTATTTAGTTTATTCAACTCCTGCACTAACCTTGTCTTTAGAAACTTTTTATATTCTTTGCGATGCTGAGATAAGATTCTGGAAATAGTTTTTCTAGAACTACTCTAGATATTTCCAGTTCATCATTTTTCTCGCAAAGCATTCGAGAGAGCCAAACCCTGTAATGTACGGAGGGAACTCACAGAATGATGCGACTGACAGTTTGGAACATTCGGCACTGTAACAGTAATAATGACATGTCACTTATGTAATGTTCATTATTGCAGATCAAACTGCTTTTTCCGTCTACACTCATTTTCAGTAGACTCATTCAGCGAACTCCCACCTGAGACTGCAGCGCTGGGTTCTGCAAAGTAATTTGAATGAATATAGATGCAACAGGTTTCTTTGAGCGTGCGTCTAACACATATTCTTCATATTGAATCTGCTAACAGTATTCATGTCCATGTCCATAATTCCACATTCCAGCTTATTTTTATTTTCACATTTGAGTTTTCTTCAGTACTTTTCTCAACATCTGTGCTTGCTGAGCCGTACTCAAGTCCATACATCTTGTCTTTCGCTATTACATTAATATATAAAACTGTTGATGCCGAGTGAGAATTCAAGGTACCAAATCTGTCGTGCGAGCTAAATAAGAACCAATAAAAAGCTCTACAAAGGAAATTTTGTTAAAGGATGCTGTATGGGCATTAGAATAGCACATGCCATGCTAAAAAAAAAAATACAAATTCTTGTTAGGTATGCGAGGATGAGTGCTGTGCTGTTTCTTATGTGTCACAAAAAAAAAAAAATCAGTGCCATACAGTGTTTCTTATGGAAGTACAAACTGTTGAATTCGAAGCCCAGAAGTTTTATTCAAGAATGTTCCTCAATACAAATGTATTTAGAGATCTGAGCCACTGACTCATACATGACTATGTGGCAAACATTAATTTTCATGTGGATTATAGTTTACAAGGTCTAGTCTGCATTGATTTATTGCATTCATGCTGAAACTGGGAGGGGTTCCCTGGGTATGAATAAAGAGATAAACATTTCTTGAAATCAAAACATTTGAGAACGGACAAAAGGAAGGATCTGAGAACGGTATCTTAGATTCTCTTCTTTTTCTTACAGTATCTCTAATGTTCACTTTATTTCACCTGATGCATTTAGTTTTTAGCGCAGCTCTTAGCACCCGTTTCCGCGTTTCGCGGCGTCGCTGTCGGCGTAACCACCCAACTAAACTTGGCAGGAAATTGAATTAACGTTGTGGTCATGTGACGTTAATATTTCCGCTAAGTCTAGCTGAGAAACTGAATTTTTTTATGGATGACGTGACACGGTCATGCGATGTCATTTTCCCCGCTACTTTTAGCGGAAAAACTGCATTTGTGTTGAGGTCATGTGACATCAATTTCTGCGCTAAATTTAGTGGGAAACTTAACCAGCTAAATTTAGTGGGGAAATTTTCCCGCTAAATTCAGGGAAGTTTCCTGCTAAATGGGAGGGAGCAGAAGAGGAGGAGGGGAGGGGGAGGAGGGGCATACCTTCCCATCCTCCTCTTCAAGATCTGTGCTCTAATTTCACGTTACAGAGAATTGTAAACGTCTCATATTTCATCTCATGTTTATTCAACTTTTATATTGCAGGTGCGCTCACAGCACAAATCTGGGTTGTGCTGATCCTCTACGCACAAGTTAGGAACTCCTGAGTGGCAAGAGTGGGAGTTTGGTCTGACAGCTCAAGGGACACCATTGTTCAGTATTGAATTTTTAATAATCTTCTTTTAAGCAAAGTTAAGCTTTGCTGCATGCAGTTCTTGTAAAAATAAATACCTGCAACCAAATTTACCAGGTCACGACATTTCGCCTCTGCTCTTAGTGGTCCTGGTGAGCCTCGGATAAGAGCTTACTGGTGTGCAAACACCATGCTTGTTTGAAACCACTCATTGATGTAGAGACTCGCTGACATCCAGCATTCCAATGAAACGCTGGATGTCCACAAGTCTTTCTTGAACAATGCAAGCGGGGAAGGAACCATACAATCGTATCGTATTGGGGGACATTCTACAGAGTTTTTTTTCTATGTTTTACAGATTTTTTTTAAAAAAAGCCGTAAAAGCTACATTTACGCGGTCTGTGCACATGAGTTATATGGCCAGGGCGGCATAGCATAAAAGGCTAATTTGTAATGATCCGTCGGCTTATTACAGAGATATGCCAGACTTCTTTCAGAAAACTAGATGGAGGTTCATTCTAGCGTAGTTTTATCCCGCGAATCTGAATATCCCGTTCGTTTTCCTCAAAGATATAACTAAACGTGAGAAAACACAAAAAACATCCCACCAACAGTGACATCGTAAGAAGACCTTTCGGCCGCCAAGCGTGTGTCGCTTAAGGGCCGCGCGTCCAATCGCAAGTTTTCTAGGTATATTCTCCGGCACTGGCACCAGTCGTGACACATTTTTCTGCCCTTTTAAAAAATAACACGTGCGTGCATAGCTTTGATAGGCGCTGAAGATGCGTGAACAAAGATTTTGAAAGCTGCTGTTGTGACGTCGCTCTCTAGGGAGGTGCTTTCACAGCGCTTTAAAAATGACTATGCAGCCTTGATTAATTAAATTAGCAAATAATTTTGATATTTGAGATTCTCGAGGTCGAATGAAGAAGATTTAAAAGTGTTTTCTCAAATACAAAACTGCTTCAGCCTCTCTCTAAGTATAGTAAGTTCGTGAAATTTTTAATCAGTGAAAATAGACCCATGGTTCCAATTAGAAACCTGCTAAGCATCATCAAAACACACTAAATCAATTTTCTTTGTAAAGATAGACGAGTAGCATTATATGGCGTTATAAAAAAATGGTCAATTTGGACGCATTTCCAGACTTCGGTTTCTTACCAGAGCGCATCTTTGCACCTGCGGTCCAGCTGCCCGGTGACCGCAGTGCGAAGCCGCCCCCTCGCCTCCCTTGTAGGATGAAGGGAAGCAAGGCGCATGTGTGTTGCGTGTCTATGCCCCTGGGGAACAGGACCGTGGGCACAGAGATGAGCTCTGATAAGAAACTGAAACCTAGAAACTCGTCCAAATAAAGCTTTTTACAGAATGCATAAAACGCTACCCCTGAATTATATCCTTCTAAAAAAACTTGATTTTGTGGTTTTCAATGACTCAGCAAGTTTCTAATTGAAACCATATTTTCATTTTCACTAATTAAAAAGTTGATTAACAAATTGTATTTAATTATCTGACTGATCGTTACGACTAGGTCCCTATACTACGTACGCCTGGCCGTATAACTCGCCTGCACAAACCGCATTAATATAGCTTTCACGACCTTTCTAAACATATATGTAAAGCTTGAAACTAAATCGCCCCGTACAACAGTGAAAAGGCGAAACCAACACGCTGGAGCCATATGGCTCCACCATGCTGGTATCGCCTTTTTGCTGGTATAGGATGTCCCATATTACGTTATGCATGTATGGTTCCGTCCGCCTACGTGGTTCCGCCTATATCCACTACGCTGGTATAGGATGTCCCATAATACGACACGCTTGTATGGTTCCGCCCACCTGTATCATTCCACCTTATTCCACTATACTGGAGCCGCCTTTTTCGCTTGTATAGGATGTCCCATATTACGGTTACGCTTGTATGAGCCTTTTCCGTCATCTTTCCATCATCGAGATTTTCCAACAGGGTTAGGTGTATTTTATGCCAACTTTTTGGTTTAGTCATACGTTTTACATAGGAATGAGCAAGTTATAACTAAATTAGCAGGAGTAATGAATGAAAGCTTGGGAAGAACCACAACGAGTTAGGCAGAACTGTTTTATGGAGGTGTATGAATTGTTTACAAGCCAATTGTTATGAAGTTCTAGATATAATAAACGAAAAGTAGCACAAGAGCATGGTACGAAGAAGACAGGGACTTTTGTTTTTTGTTTGCTATGTTTAATTAATCAGCCCATTAAATAATTTTAGTTCTAGATATAAAATAAATTGTAATTTCACAATCAAATTAGTTTTTTTTTTCTGAATTAAAAATTTTAGTTTTATCACAACCTCTAGAACTTCTAACATTATTTCACTTGGATTCCGTACCTAAAATAACCATTCACCGCAGTTTGTGCTGTCCGTCATCAGTCACCTTGTTACTCCGTCTGGTGCTTCTATACGCAACTAAGCAGCTAGTTTTGTGTTTGAGGAAATCATCCTGCTGTGCAATCAATGATAACAAAAGGTTGCACATTAGTGAGAAGGCAAAGTAGACACTGCCTAGTTGGATATGTCAACACATGAATCTTAGTAATATTTGCAGCGTTATAAATGAAAATGAAGTGTGCAATCATGCACTAAAAGTTCTTTTTGCTGCTCCAAAACGACCTAGACCTATCACATCATTGAGTTGTGTATTTCACTCCAGGTATAAAGAAGGCTATCACAGCGGCAAGCAAGACCCCGGGGTTCAGCGCACTTCATGACTGGGTCCAGGCAGCTGCAAACCATATGCATTGGTGCGCCGCAGCAAGCAGGGGCAATGGGGACCTGCTCGTGGAAGCGTGGGCAAGCATAGCACGCCACGTCGCTGATATCCACAATGGCCATGGCGGTCTGTACACTACGTGCCTCCACGGACCCCTGGATAACGTAGAGTGGCTTCCTCCAGGTGAGAAAAAAGAAAGAAAGAAAAGAAAAAAAAGGGATACTACAACCAAATTTCGGCACAGCAGTATCATATCGAACATACCAATATCTTGTTGAAAAAGTCTCGAAAAGGAATTTTAAAACGAATTAAACGATACGAAAAGAGCACCTGGTGGATGTCGCTAACGCCTCGCTTGTAATGCCCGTCTAGGAACCTTGACAGCTATAGTCGGTTACAAGTTTAGAAGGTAGTAGAAGCCCCTCCCCACTAAGCGTGATGCGCCCGCTTTAGACGCCTCCGCAGTCGAGAAAATAGTTCGCTGAAAACGCCCCTTCTGCTTCAATGGATGGATATTGACTACAGACAGACCTTGTAGCAGGCAGCAGCTTGCGCCACCTAGCCGAGGCAAATTACTCGCTCCAGAAGGTTGACGTAAAAAGACGGCTTCAGTGCAACGAAAATTGTAACTTTTATAAGTAATGCATGTATGGTTGTTGGTTTTAGCTTGATAACCTTCCTACTCGAATTAGGTACATTCCGTGTATTTTCTGCGTTTGTTAAAAAAATCCTGCGTTTCGGGTTTTGAAAGTTCCTGCGATTCGCGTTTCGACAATGCCGAAGTCATCCTTTTCCGTTATGAATCCCAACGTGGAGACAGCGGAATGCGATTCCTCCGATTCTTCTTCTTCAAGAGAGTCTGGTGCAGCCTCGCCGCCTACGCCAAGGTGCCTCTACAAGAAGCATAAGAGCAGCGTTGTCCTCAACCGAGTTGCACGGCAGCTGATAATGAACGCGTACGTTCAGGTGCAACACGAACCGCCCGTCAAGTCCGGCCAGCCCGGCCTCACTGTGGAGGAGTTCTGCATCAGAGTCAGCAAACTGCTTGGCGTTGGTGTACGCACCGTCCTTGAGATTAGGAAGCAGGCGAAAGAAACCGAGGGACAAGTTGTGACACCTTCGCAGAAGCGCCCAGCAAGTGAAGGCAAGAGGCGGCGCAAAGTCAGGTACGGCGAGTTCACGTTGTGCGTGCTGAGATCGTGCGTCCACCGTTTCTTTCGACGAAACGAGGTCCCCACGGTCAAGAAAATAACGGCCGAATTCTGCGCGAGCACTGAACTTCCCTCGTTGAAGGCTTGGACTGTGCGTCGCCTTCTCCACGACATCGGATTCGAGCATGACAAGAGGGAACGAAACTCCTGGTTGATTGAACGAGAGGACATAGTTGCCTGGCAGCAGAAGTACCTGCATGAGATCGCACGTCACCGACAAGATGGTCGGAAGATCTTCTACTTGGACGAGACGTGGGTGACGGTAGGGCACACTGTCTCAAGGGTGTGGGTAGACACGACAGTGGCCTCGTCTCATGACGCCTTCACGCGTGGTCTCTCGACTGGCCTCAAGCAGCCATCGGGGAAGGGCCAGCGTCTTATTGTCACCCACATCGGCAGCGATGAAGGCTTCGTTGACGGCTGCCTGGACGTGTTCCGTGGACAAAAGACCGGTGATTACCACGAGGAAATGGATGGCGCCCGCTTCGAGAAGTGGTTCGACGGTGTCCTCGACAAACTGCCGACAGGAAGCGTTATCGTCATGGACAACGCTTCTTACTATTCACGGCGGTTGGAAGCAGTGCCGACGACGAGTTCCCGGAAGGATGACATCCGACAGTGGCTCACGTCTAAGAAAATTTCATGGGACCCCAAGATGGTGAAGAAGCAGCTGCTTGACATTGTGGCCTTGGTGAAGCCAGAGCACCTAAAGTATCGTAGGGACACTGCTGCCGAGACAGCTGGCTGCACTGTGGTCAGGCTGCCACCGTATCACTGCGAGTTCAACCCCATTGAACTGATATGGGCGCAGATCAAGAACGGCGCTGCTGCTTGAAACACGACGTTCAAGATTGTCAACGTGGGGAGACTCCTCAACGAAGAAGTTGACAAGGTCACCACTGACAACTGGATTAACGCTGTCAGGCACGTTATTGACATTGAGGCAACATTCCGACGAGGCGGTGCCAGAAGTGCCCACATCCAGCCCATCGTCATCCAGCTCAATGGAGAGGACATCCCGTCCGAGTGACCTGTCTGGTGTCGAGCCCCTTGACGAAGCTTAAGGCCACCATTATGGAGAAAGCGTGGAACATCTCAGAACACAAAACGGTCCTTTTAAGGACCACTCATTTGCTTTAAGATCGGATTGTTGTTCTTGATCACCACTAACCTCCCGTGTCTCATGTTGTCATGCTTCTCTGCTCGTTGCCGTATAGCATTTCGATATGCAGCTACCAGACAAACTTTTTATTTTTGTTGCGATAATGTCTAAGCTGGTCAATACATTGCACTGTGCCATGAATCACCAGTATAGATTTCAACTTAACGAAAACAAAAGTTTGCAGCCCATCTATGGCAAAGACATCAGATGCCATATTGACCCTTCCTGCTGTCTAAACATCTTTGCCACGCAGCAAATGGAATTTTGATTGCAAATAAGCTCTTTTTTGTCTAAGAAAAACGACACAACATATCACTGCCAGTGCTCTGCTTTAAAGCATAAATGGGACGTCTGTGGCCATTTACATGACTGAGGCTTCTGGGAATTACAAAGCCGTGTGTTAGCACAGCGGAGAGCGAAATCGCAGTACCAGTACTCTGTTTCAAAGTCTAAAGGGAACGCCTATGGTCATTCACATGACCAGGGCCCCTCTGAAAACAACAATAATGTGTGTCAGGACTGCGGGCAGCTAACTCTTAATGCCAATGACCTTTTTCGAAGCATAAACTGCACGTCGGTGGCCATTCACATGACCGAGGCCACTCTGAGAATAACAATAACGTGCATCAGCGCTGCGGGCAACTAACTCTAACTGCCAATGACCTGTTTCGAAACATAAACTGGACGTCAGTGGCCATCCACACGACCGAGGCCACTTTGAGAATAACAATAATGTGCATCAGCGCTGCGGGCAGCTAACTCTAACTGCCAGTGACCTGTTTCGAAGCATAAACTGGACGTCAGTGGCCATCCACACGATTGAGGCCGCTCTGAGAATAACAATAACGTGCATCAGCACTGCGGGCAGCTAACTCTAACTGCTAACATAGATCAGAAATGTAATTAAGGCGGTTTGAGCTGTTGCTTGATTCAAACATTGTTGATTTTATTGTTATAAAGACAAATCATTCTGCCACTTGCATTCGGACCAAGATCAGGACATCACGAGTATTCGGTATGTTTTCAATTCTTGATTTAAACAAATATTTCGCATATAACAAAGCCACAATTTATGAAGCGGGAAGCTGCCCTTACAATCAATTTTCATTGACATACTTTTCATCTTTTACAAATTATCAAACCAATGCTGCGATCCAATATTGTGGACACATTTTACTTCTAAAGTAAATTGGAAAAATTGGTGCGTGTTTACCGGTAATACCTCAGGCCGCGATGCGACGCGAGTGGAGGTACACACGTCACGTACCCGGGTTTCGAAGCATAAACATACGACTGTCACCGCCTCGAGAGCAAGCAGAATGTTCGGAAGCATTCGAGAGAACCGAATCTGCTTCCCTCAAATTCTCTGGTATTTGCTCCAAAAGAAGACATCAGCTTCTTAACGTCCAAAACAATATCAATTAAATGTTTGTAACATACGCATCACTGGCTTTATCATTTGTGTGCCACCTGTATGTAACAGCTCATTATTGCGAACGAGGGTGCACCCGCGGGTACTATCGCAGTCATAGATTACCGTGCAGCTGATTGCAATGCGGAAACTCGAAAAGGATGCCACGTTTCACAGATGAATGCATACTGCTTCGAAGGCGTCATTTCAGTAGACAGAGCATTTATTAACGCCAGCAAAGATACGGTCGAAATTGGGTAAAGACACCTACTGTGTTTGCGGTTCACTTATGCCCCTCCGCACAGCCCACTGTACTTATAAAGAAGAGTTTGGTGACCGCTGCAATTTAACGTCGCTCCACGGAAACCACTGCGAAGAAAAGCCGATGCCTTCACGATGTTGAGGCGCAACCTGAGGCAGAGAAGCAGACGGCGTTCGACGTATGTACGATGCTAGGCCTTACTCCTGCATCGAAATTTTCTATGGCAATGCTATCGCTAGATTCTCAAGCTGTCGCGCAGAACCTATTGCGAATAAAAGTGGACGCGGTTACGACTTAGCGACGTATGCTCGGGTAAGTGAAAAACCGCATTAAAAAACAGAATAATTACTGCAAGATACTCGAGTCGTAGAAAATCTGCCCAGCAGCCATGTTGAAAATATTCATTTGCCAGAACAAGATTGGTTCGGGCAGGTCGTGACGTCACGGAAACAACGGGGCGCGATTGGTGGCGGAGGAATACAAGATTCCCTTTGAGGGGCATTTGCTGCTACCTTCTTGACTTGTAACCGACTATAGTGATGGTGAGTGTCTTGCCTCCGGCCACGACGAGAGAAAGGGGGAAGGAGGAACTCCTCTCTTCCCGAGAATGTCTTTTGTGCGTCGCACAAGTTGCTATTGTCCCCCTACAAGATTATAGAAGATTAACCCGTCACTCGAAATTCGTACAAAAGCAGCCCTTCGGTGGCTGGAACGACTAGGCCATCCTCTCGACGTCAGCCTCGCCGTAGCTTTGCTCGTCCCGAGACGACCTACGTCACGATTGCGTTGGATGTCACGTGGTCTCCACTGGGCTTTCTCCGAGCGCTTGCCAGAGTGGGCCGTTTATGAGAAAAAAATACAGCCACCAGGCTCAAAATACAAACGTGCGATTGTCATTTACGGATATTGTGGATCATATTCAACCCGTTTTTGAACACGACGGGCACATTTCAAATTTCGTTAAAGTATCCCTTTAAGGTATATGCTGGCATGCGTTATTGTGGTACACCAGAGCACTTTAAAAAAGCTATGTGACAATCTTTGTTCATATGACATATCTAAATTTCCTAAATCTTACTTTAAACGGACAGTGTCAGACAGCTGTCTCGGCAGTACAAGCACTGTGAGCAGCCATACCTCTTTTTCTACCTATAGTAGGCTGCAGGTAAAGACGGTAGGGCGAGGAAAGGTAAGGCTGGAAAGGACAAAGCAAACAGAAGGCTGGAGAGGAGAGATAGAAACCTCTGTCAAGCATTCTGTCTGCTTCCTCCTCCCGTCTCCCTTTCCATCACTCTATCTTCTTAAACTGTAACTTACTTTGGTGGCGAAAGTGCTTGTGAGATGCGGACACCTTCAGTGGTGCAACTTTTTTTGTAGTTGAAGTATATCATGGGCACATCTCATTTGGACTTTACCCTCTTTTTAGGGATGCCTGCTCACGACAAGTTTGCCGCCATCGTGACCTCGAAACGCCTCTTGAAGGACTTGCGCCAGTTGTCGCCCGACACCCAGACATTTTCTCTGGAGTCATTTCACAACGTCTTGAATGGGTTCGCTCCTAAGTCGACAGCATTCTCATCAGAGGGCATGCTTGCCAGGTTGGTATATATATATATATATATATATATATACATACACACACATATACACAAACATACGTGACATGGCCAAAGTTTTTGATCAACATAATGTATCTTACAATACTAAAGTCTGATGGTGAATTCCGCTCGCAGATCTCGAGCGCTCCAAAAGCGCTCCCATTTGGAGCGCGCATATTCCGCTCGCAGATCTGGCTCAGGTTGGTCATCTTCCACTCGTAGATTCTGGCAGCGCCCGCTCCACGGAGCGCCCCAAACTCCGCCGAACTTGCTCTGCGGGATTTCACAGATCTCTCCGGAAGTTGATAGAGCGGCCCACGTGATTTCCGCCTAAATCGGCGGTGCGCACGCGCGGCAAGGTTGGAGAGATTGGCGGGCCGGTAGGGCCACGGCCGGGTGGCCGGGTCGTGGAGTTGGTTCTGTTCGGGTGCGTGGGTTGTTTACTCTGGATTGTGACGGCTCGAACGCTTCTACCTCGCATAGATCAGGGATAAAAAGCCGGGAATGTGGAGTGTGGCAAATCGTAAGCGCTGACATCTGTGATCGTGAGAGAAAGAACGAGAAAAAGAATGACAGAAAAGCCGGAGGCAGACGCAAGGTTAGGCCTATTCATTCTGCAGCCAGTGATTGTTTACCTTTTTACACTGCATTCCGTCGGCGTTTTCCCGTGAAATAAAGCAAGAAGTAGTTAGGCAACGACCGCGCAAGTGATGGTGTGTTACCTCTGGGTTTATTAAAGTCGTACTACAAATCTGAACTCCACTGCTGGCAATCGCTGTCAGTGCCCCGCCGCTTCGAGGCGGCCGAAAGGTATGCGACGGTGCCGAACGCGGACGTCTTCGTTATTTGTGACATGGGTGCCGTGGTACGTATAATTTCGCCCGGCCTGTGTTGCGTGTTACTTCTGCAGCTAAGCAGTGACAGTCGTCACTGGTCGTCGGAAAGATCAGCCGGCTGAGGTGTTGGTGGGCTGGTCAAGTTCGAGCAGCGGCCATTTTGTACGGCGGAGGGAGAAGGGGTGGGGAGGGGTGTGGGGGAGGTCGCTCCAAAAATGCAAGTTTATCTTCCCTTCGTCGATTCGGAGCGGGTCCCACGGAGCGGAATTTTGCCTCCCTCACGGATTTTGGAAAGCGCTCCAGATCTACAGTGGAATTCACCATGACATTTTTGTCTGCGTATCCAGGGTAATGTGAATATGTGACCCAGCTATACACTAACTCAAGGCTGCTATATCACGCCGTAATTGACAGAACAGTGACTTACATGATGTGATCATAAGTATCCAATGATGTTGCAATCAAGGTGAAAGCACATCAGTCCCTCTTGATGCGGCAGTGATTGAAGTAAAGCATAAGCTCGTGCTGCAAAACTCGGGAGCCGTGGGTTCAATCCTCATCCCAGCACACTTCAATCTGAATGAGCGTCGTACCAGCATGCGGTCCTGTGTCACTACTGAGCCCAGATTAGCGGTCTTTAATGTGCACATACTACACTGGCTAAATTTCTCATCTACAGCAAGTAAGAATGTTCATAAAACCTCTTGCAGACTAACTGACTGCTGTATAAGCACCAAACAACAAATTTGACAGCTGACTCTTGATGCTTCGGAAAGAAATCTCTATTTGCCCCCACAAGGAACTCGACCCCCTGACATCCAGCTCAGAGACTCTTTTTGTGAGTTTAGGGATAAGGCTATCAAAGTCCCAACAACTGAAGCAGCCTGCAGATCAAAAAATTGCTCAGCCAATTTGGGATTACCCAACGGGCAGTCCTTTCAATTGGCCATTTGTATAGGCTTCTCCCTCCGTGAAAGCTGGACAGCACTTTTAAATGAGAAAAGAAGGCACACAGAGCCATACTTTCTAGGTTTTTGAATGCTGAGGCTGCATCTAAAAATCATAAAGAGACTATCCCAGAAATCTTTTTATTGCATACGTTGGTTGCTTTAGTGTTGGGAAAAAAGAAGGACGGGAGGGGGAAGCGGCACAATAAACTCAAAGCCATGCCAAACAAATGGAATGCTGTGGTTTGTCGTAATACCTGGCCTTTGCACACCATTTAGGACCCGCCTGGCAGCACTGCACTTTAATGAGAATGCGGAACGTCAACAAGCGATGACGAAAGATGGAGAACATCAGTGGAAAGTGAAGTCACCGAAGGCAAGGAAGGGGCACCATGTCGTGTGTCCAGTGAAGACAGAGATAACATATGGTAACTATGCACATATATTACATCACCCTTTCAGGCAATGTTGGTGATGTGATTGGCTTCAGTCATTTTGAAGCACCTTTCGGAGCATCCAAAAGTGAATTTCGGAGCTGCAAAAATAATTTTTGGAGCTTATAGGCACACACCTCATTTGCATTCCTACCACTGCATATCTGAAGATTCTTGCGTTGACCTGTCTAACTAGGAGACGCTGTCTATTTTGTCTTCCGACCTCCGTGCAAATTTTTATTGACATCAATTGTATGGCAGGTTTGATTCGCTCTAAAAACAAAACTAGATGTCTACTTCAAAATAGAAACACCAGGCACAACATCATGCTGACTGATGAAGGACAGTCTAAACTGCCGTGAATGGTTCTTTAGGTACACAGTCAAAGGTAAACCAACGTGATATTAGAACAGAATAATATTAGGTACCTGCGACAAGGCAAGACGCAAAATTGCGATGCCTGCTTCGCGGTTTTTGCTTCACTGCAGTGCACCAAAGCATGGCACAACAGAGCTAACCTGCCTGAACATATCACGAACATGAGAAATTTGCGAGACTTACGAGTATTGTCAGTGTTTGACACAGATATCAAATCGAGTGGTGTTATTCGAGGCCATAATCAAAGTTCATTTGGCGCTGCCTAATTAGCCCCATCGGGTTGCAACGTCTAAAGTGAAACAAAGTATAGATAAATATTTACGAAACTCTTGCATGCTAAATAAACTTTGAACAGGCCAAGAATCTGGAGAGAGCGATACCATCGGGGCAGCGGACTGAAACAGCTAGTGATCATTGCAATGGCTCTAGCTGGCCGGCAGACAGCACAGTGCGTTAGTCATTAGTCGCCATAGTATGCAAGCTATGGAAAGCCAGTTTTCACATTGTGCACTATGGGTGCTCGCGCTAGTGCTGACAGCACTGCAGCTCCCCACCCCCCTCGACGAAGAGTTGCGTTTTTTATGGCCCTTCCACATCAAATCGTGCGGCAGATAAATCGCAAAACTTTCTAATGAGGGTCTAAAAGTATGTGTTTGGAGACGCAGATAGCCATTTTTATTTTTTTACTAGACTCCGACGGTTCACCAGTTCACTCTTTTATGCTTTCTAAAGTAAAACCTGGTCTGTCTCTTGATGACTTCTGGTCTCATTTCTTTCAGGCTATGTCCAGGAGCTGATGGCTGTGGCTGTTGGAATGTGCGGCTCTTCAACCTTTCTGAAGAAGTTCCAGGCCACAAGAACACCTCCAAAGCCAAATATGAGCGACCAATCGGAACGGCCATCAAAAAAAGAGTTAATTGACTCCAGAGTCAGCCGCTTTGCCAAGGCGAAGCCGCAGATTGTCTAACTTATCATTACGATCTGAACTACCAATATCATGTGGCTCTCTTCAGCTGTCTTCTACTTAAAACATTTTTTTAAATTTATTTATAATATACCGCAGGCCAGTGATGGGCCCAAGCAGAAATGGATGCTGTTTTTCTTCACACGGTACTTAGAATTTATACATAAAACGAAAAGGAAGGGCGATTGAAAACACATAAACTACATAAAACACAGGGTACACTTTAATAAGCTGTTCAATTGATCATAGAACATTCTCCAAAGTAAAAACATGGGGAGGCAAGGAAATCCGATCTGTTACACTTCTGGGGAAAAAAGAGTATTTAAAAGCATTTGTGCGAACGAATATGGGAGTTATTTTTTGTGTGTGGTCATGTCTTGTCTGTTTAGTAGATGGCTGAACGTAGGATGATGACTCGAGGCGAAGTTTGTGATGCCAAAACTGAAAATTGAATTTTAATCTAGCTACCTTCATGCGATCTTCTAGAGCAGTGGTTCTCAAATGGGGGTCCGCGGACCCCAAGGGGTCCGCGAAGGCATTCTAGGGGTCCGCGAAGCCCGGCCTCATCAGTCAAGCCCAACAATAAAAGTTGTCTTTTCTCAGATTGAGAAGAAATGTTTCAGTTTTCGGGCGAACTTTTACGTGTGTTTGTCAATAAGAGAGGTCTGCTTAACACTAGCCTTTAGTTATATCCATTTATTTAATCAGTATTATATTTAACCCAAGCTTTTCCTCACTCATCATCATGAACGGGGTCCTCCGTCCTCTCCGCCGATCCAAAAGGGGTCCGCAAAACATTGATCGTTGAGAACCACTGTTCTAGAGGAATGATATTGGTTCTAATTATTTAGTAGTAGAGTCATGCCGGCGATAACAATTATATGTAAAACGAACTGCTAGTCTCTGGACCTGCTCAAGCCTGTTAATATGTTTTTTCGTAAAGGATCCCATCTAGTGCAAGCGTACTCCAACCGAGACCTTATTAGTGTGGTATAAGCTAGAAGTTTGACATGACAAGTTTGTTATGTTTGAATAAAATACCGGAATGAGAAACCCTATCAAATGCTTTGCTCAAGTCAAGAAAAATTACGTCGACTCGGCCGGGTTTGTCGACTATTGAAGCGAAAGAATTAGTAGAAATAAGTTCTGTGGTAGTGGAAAGGCCTCTACATAAGCCATGCTGAAAGGCGAGATGATGTCATGCTTACCTAAAAATTCAGTCATGTAATTAGAAATTATATGTTCTAAGAGCTTACGTTATGTGCTGGTAAGTTTTATGGGATGGTGATTAGTTAACAGTGAACAATGTCCCCTTTTAAAGGCAGGTACACCATGTGCAATATGCCAACCTAAGGAAACAACACATAAAAACAAGGAATGAAAAATGACAACAAGGAACGTAGCAAGTGATTCAGCGTGACGACGAAGGAAGGCGTGGCGAATGTTATCAGGATCACACAATGATTTCGGCTTCAAATTTTACGAACTCTTGACTAATCTGGTTGAATTATCGAAAGAAGTCTGTCGCGGGCCAAGATGTGAAAACAGATTAAAATCAGTGGCCATTTTCTGCTTGCGACTCATGGTTTCTTCAATTCTAACGGAGTCCACGGTTTTCTGTTCATTTGTAGTGAGAATGTGCCAAAATTTTGTCGCATGTTAGAATAGGAAAACTCTCTACCTGCACGAATTTTTGTCATAAGTGTTTGCTTTAAATTTCGAGTAGTGGAACTGTTGGACCAAAGCTTTCCATTGTTTTATTATTTGTACCAGATGAATTGGGTCTCGGGTGATCCAAAGGTTCTTAATGGTGTACGTTCAAGACAAAAACTGTGCAGTGTCGCTTTCAAGCCTCTCTTTTTGCGTCTAAACATATTTCTGGCCTTGTCATTTGCTAAGATTGCTCCGCGGACCACAGCAATTGGCTGTTCAAGCGCCCCGCAAGAAAGTTGACGGACAAGCATTTCTGAAAGTATGTTACGAATAAATCTGTGCTGTTATTATGGCAGGTTCATTAGGCACGGCAAAAAGATACAAGTGAGCTGGTAAGAGTAAAATGATTGAAAAAATCCCCCAAACCAGGTTAGGCGTTTACTGAGCCTCCAAAAATCTTGTGTACTGCTCGGACACGAATTCTCTAATCCGTGCCACAACACACGCAGGTAGAACTCGCCTGTCATGCGAGCCCAGCCTCTGCCACAACCACCTGGCGAACTGCCGGTAGGCAACAAAACATAGCCGACTGCAAAGAACAAATATAATACATATAGTCGGCGAAGCACCGCTTGCATTTCGCACAAAATGAATCAACAATGTTGGTGCCGGGCCGTCGCACTGCTGCAGCACAGCCGAATCAAAGTTTGAGATCTTGTGTAATTGTCCGCTCCACGGTTCATTTGGAACCCTTGCTCTTGCAGCTCCCAGTACTTACATTACCCATAGCACAACAAGGTACAGACACAGAATGGCATGGCATAAAAACACAAGTGAGCTGGTAAGAGTAAAATGATTGAAAAAAATCCCCCAAACCAGGTTAGGCGTTTACTGAGCCTCCAAAAATCTTGTGTACTGCTCGGACACGAATTCTCCAATCCGTGCCACAACACACGCAGGTAGAACTCGCCTGTCATGCCAGCCCAGCCTCTGCCACAACCACCTGGCGAACTGCCGGTAGGCAACAAAACATAGCCGACTGCCAAGAACAAATATAATACATATAGTCGGCGAAGCACCGCTTGCATTTCGCACAAAATGAATCAACAATGTTTGTGCCGGGCCGTCGCACTGCTGCAGCACAGCCGAATCAAAGTTTGAGATCTTGTGTAATTGTCCGCTCCACGGTTCATTTGGAACCCTTGCTCTTGCAGCTCCCAGTACTTACATTACCCATAGCACAACAAGGTACAGACACAGAATGGCATGGCATAAAAACACAAGTGAGCTGGTAAGAGTAAAATGATTGAAAAAATCCCCAAACCAGGTTAGGCGTTTACTGAGCCTCCAAAAATCTTGTGTACTGCTCGGACACGAATTCTCCAATCCGTGCCACAACACACGCAGGTAGAACTCGCCTGTCATGCCAGCCCAGCCTCTGCCACAACCACCTGGCGAACTGCCGGTAGGCAACAAAACATAGCCGACTGCAAAGAACAAATATAATACATATAGTCGGCGAAGCACCGCTTGCATTTCGCACAAAATGAATCAACAATGTTGGTGCCGGGCCGTCGCACTGCTGCAGCACAGCCGAATCAAAGTTTGAGATCTTGTGTAATTGTCCGCTCCACGGTTCATTTGGAACCCTTGCTCTTGCAGCTCCCAGTACTTACATTACCCATAGCACAACAAGGTACAGACACAGAATGGCATGGCATAAAAACACAAGTGAGCTGGTAAGAGTAAAATGATTGAAAAAATCCCCCAAACCAGGTTAGGCGTTTAATGAGCCTCCAAAAATCTTGTGTACTGCTCGGACACGAATTCTCCAATCCGTGCCACAACACACGCAGGTAGAACTCGCCTGTTATGCCAGCCCAGCCTCTGCCACAACCACCTGGCGAACTGCCGGTAGGCAACAAAACATAGCCGACTGCAAAGAACAAATATAATACATATAGTCGGCGAAGCACCGCTTGCATTTCGCACGAAATGAATCAACAATGTTGGTGCCGGGCCGTCGCACTGCTGCACCACAGCCGAATCAAAGTTTGAGAGCTTACGTACTTGCTCGCTCCACGGTTCATTTGGAACCCTTGCTCTTGCAGCTCCCAGTACTTACATTAACCGTAGCACAACGGGGTCCAGACATAGAATGCGAAAATATGCATGGTTGATGCAGCCGTTGTTTTGAATTGGGACGGGGGCGGCGCACTCCCGGCAGCAGAAGCACTCTCGAGCGGTCGGCGCTAATATGCACCACTTGCAAGTGCACCTTCAAAGAAATATATCATTTTATATCTTTGTTACTTCCGTGCATCTGAATATACGGCCGAAACTTAACCTACCATTCCGTACTTTGAAGCCGCCCCACTCCTCGTCGTCCGATTCCGATGAAGAACTGGAGTCGTCGTCGAAAGACTCGCCGCACTTCTCAACAGGCATACCGGCGTATAGGACTAGTCCCATGCTGTCGCTATAGCGCAACATATCTAATTGCATCTCGCTCAGTTGCGATGTATTCATGGCTATCGCAGCGATGAGAGGCGCCGATTCAGAAAAACATCGATGACATCAGCGCCATCAGCGCAGTAAACCTAAAACCTACCGGCACACCGCCAACTCGCCGCTGCTAACGCTCCCATTCTCCTACTGCCGGGAGAACTTCCGGTTCCGGAAGCAGTGTACGTCACGACTTGTTTTGCGGTCAGTGGGAGAGAAAGAAAAAGTCGATATTTCATTAATTTTTTGTGTAAAAGTTAATGAACCGATGCGAAAACGGACGCCTGTTCGGCATTCAGTGAGCATTGACGGTTTAATGTAAAGGTTATCGGGCAAAAGTAGAAAAGGTCATTTCATGGTCCCTTTAAGAAAGAACAGCTACCACCTGGGCAGTTGAGTACGAGTGGCAGCAGACAGAAGGATCTACAGACATGCTACCGATGCCAAGAACAACATTCGGCTTACTCCTGCCGGTCCCGAAACGCACGGTGCAGCTTCTGCCACAAGAAGGGACATATCGAAAAGGCCTGTTTCAAAAAGTCAAGAACGCAGCACCTATCGCGGACGACACACAGCCTCGATCAGCCAGATGAGCTACCCGAATTTGACGATGATCATCCGGATACGCCATGGAGGCTGCACGAGCTGAATATGGTTAGAGCATCGAAGACGCTGCCAAAGTTAATGGTGACACTGAGGATTGAAAATAAAGAGCTCAAATCCGAAGTCGACTCCGGAGCTGCTTGCTCAATCATCAGCGAAGCTACATATCGCCACCTCTGGCCGAAGAAGGCCCCTAAGCTAAACCAGGAGGGCCTGGCCCTCCATACATGGTCAGGAGAGGG